TGAATAATAGTTTTTCTTGACGAAAGCTTTCTTGCAAAAAGGGGGCCAAAGTTTCAAGGTGAAATGTTGATAAAGATACAATTGATTCTATTAAAAATGAAAGGCTATTGCATGAGTATCTGAGTAGATCTAGATGAGTAAAGTGATGCAGAGAATAGAAAGATTTTGAAACTTTAAAAATAGTTTTTCTTGACGAAAGCTTTGTTGCAAAAAGGGGGCCATAGTTTGAAGGTGAATTGTTGATAAAGATAAGTTTGATTCTGTTAAAAATTAAAGGCTATTGCATGAGTATCTGAGTAGATCTAGATGAGTAAAGTGATGCAGAGATAAGAAAGAGTTTGAAACATGAATAATAGTTTTTCTTGACGAAAGCTTTCTTGCAAAAAGGGGGCCAAAGTTTCAAGGTGAAATGTTGATAAAGATAAGTTTGATTCGGTTAAAAATTAAAGGCTATTGCATGAGTATCTGAGTAGATCTAGATGAGTAAAGTGATGCAGAGATAAGAAAGAGTTCGAAACATGAATAATAGTTTTTCTTGACGAAAGCTTTCTTGCAAAAAGGGGGCCAAAGTTTCAAGGTGAAATGTTGATAAAGATAAGTTTGATTCGGTTAAAAATTAAAGGCTATTGCATGAGTATCTGAGTAGATTGAGATGAGTAAAGTGATGCAGAGAATAGAAAGGTTTCGAAACATGAAAGATAGTTTTCTTGACGAAAGGTTACTTGCAAAAAGGGGGCAATAGTTTCGAGAAGTAATGTTTATAAAGATACTATTGATTCGATTAAAAATAAAAGGCTATTGCATGAGTAACTGAGTTGATCTAGATGAGTAAAGTGATGCAGAGAATAGAAAGATTTCGAAACATGAATAATAGTTTTTCTTGACGAAAGCTTTGTTGCAAAAAGGGGGCCATAGTTTCAAGGTGAAATGTTGATAAAGATAGGTTTGATTCGGATAAAAATTGAAGGCTATTGCATGAGTATCTGAGTAGATTGAGATGAGTAAAGAGATGCAGAGAATAGAAAGATTTCGAAACATGAAAAACAGTTTTCTTGACGAAAGGTCTCTTGCAAATAGGGGGCTATAGTTTCAAAAGTAATGTTTATAAAGATACGATTGATTCTATTCAAAATGAAAAACTATTGCATGAGTAACTGAGTTGATCTAGATTAGTAAAGTGATGCAGAGAATAGAAAGATTTCGAAACATGAATAATAGTTTTCTTGACGAAAGGTTACTTGCAAAAAGGGGGCTATAGTTTCAAGAAGTAATGTTTATACCGAAAAGATTGATTCGATTAAAAATGAAAGGTTATTGCATGAGTAACTGAGTAGATCTAGATGAGTAAAGTGATGCAGAGAATAGAAAGATTTCGAAACATGAAAAACAGTTTTCTTTACGAAAGGTCTCTTGCAAATGGGGGGCTATAGTTTCAAGAAGTCATGTTTATAAAGATACGATTGATTCGATTAAAAATGAAAGGTTATTGCATGAGTAACTGAGTAGATCTAGATGAGTAAAGTGATGCAGAGAATAGAAAGATTTCGAAACATGAAAAACAGTTTTCTTTACGAAAGGTCTCTTGCAAATGGGGGGCTATAGTTTCAAGAAGTAATGTTTATAAAGCTACGATTGATTCTATTAAAAATGAAAGGTTATTGCATGAGTAACTGAGTAGATCTAGATGAGTAAAGTGATGCAGAGAATAGAAACATTTTGAAACATGAAAAATAGTTTTTCTTGAAGAAAGCTTTGTTGCAAAAAGGGGGCTATAGTTTCACGGTGAAATGTTTAAAAAGATACGTTTGCTTCGATCAAAAATGAAAGGTTATCGCATGAGTAACTGAGTAGGTCTAGATGAGTAAAGTGATGCAGAGAATAGAAAGATTTCGAAACATGAAGAACAGTTTTCTTTACGAAAGGTCTCTTGCAAATGGGGGGTTATAGTTTCAAGAAGTAATGTTTATAAAGCTACGATTGATTCGATTAAAAATGAAAGGTTATTGCATGAGTAACTGAGTAGATCTAGATGAGTAAAGTGATGCAGAGAATAGAAAGATTTCGAAACATGAAAAACAGTTTTCTTTACGAAAGGTCTCTTGCAAATGGGGGGTTATAGTTTCAAGAAGTAATGTTTATAAAGCTACGATTGATTCTATTAAAAATGAAAGGTTATTGCATGACTAACTGAGTAGATCTAGATGAGTAAAGTGATGCAGAAAATAGAAAGATTTCGAAACATGAAAGATAGTTTTCTTGAGGAAAGGTTTCTTGCAAATAGGGGGCCATAGTTTCAAGGTGAAATGTCGATAAAGAAAGGTTTGATTCGGTTAAAAATGAAAGACTATTGCATGAGTATCTGAGTAGATCTAGAAAAGTAAAGTGATGCAGAGAATAAAAAGATTCGGAAACATGAATAATAGTTTTTCTTCACGAAAGCTTTGTTGCAAAAAGGGGGCCATAGTTTCAAGGTGAAATGTTTATAAAGATACTATTGATTCGATTAAAAATGAAAGCCTATTGCATGAGTAACTGAGTTGATCTAGATGAGTAAAGTGATGCAGAGAATAGAAAGGTTTCGAAACATGAAAGATAGTTTTTCTTGACGAAAGCTTTGTTGCAAAAAGGGGGCCATAGTTTCAAGGTGAAATGTTGATAAAGATAAGTTTGATTCTATTAAAAATGAAAAACTATTGCATGAGTAACTGAGTTGATCTAAATTAGTAAAGTGATGCAGAGAATAGAAAGATTTCGAAACATGAATAATAGTTTTCTTGACGAAAGGTTTCTTGCAAATAGGGGGCTATAGTTTCAAGAAGTAATGTTTATACCGAAAAGATTGATTCGATTAAAAATGAAAGGTTATTGCATGAGTAACTGAGTAGATCTAGATGAGTAAAGTGATGCAGAGAATAGAAAGATTTCGAAACATGAATAATAGCTTTCTTTACGAAAGGTCTCTTGAAAATGGGGGGCTATATTTTCAAGAAGTAATGTTTATAAAGCTACGATTGATTCTATTAAAAATGAAAGGTTATTGCATGAGTAACTGAGTAGATCTAGATGAGTAAAGTGATGCAGAGAATAGAAACATTTTAAAACATGAAAAATAATTTTTCTTGAAGAAAGCTTTGTTGCAAAAAGGGGGCTATAGTTTCACGGTGAAATGTTTAAAAAGATACGTTTGCTTCGATTAAAAATGAAAGGTTATTGCATGAGTAACTGAGTAAGTCTAGATGAGTAAAGTGATGCAGAGAATAGAAAGATTTCGAAACATGAATAATAGTTTTCTTTACGAAAGGTCTCTTGAAAATGGGGGGCTATATTTTCAAGAAGTAATGTTTATAAAGCTACGATTGATTCGATTAAAAATGAAAGGTTATTGCATGAGTAACTGAGTAGATCTAGATGAGTAAAGTGATGCAGAGAATAGAAAGATTCGAAAGTTGAAAAATAGTTTTCTTGGCGAAGAAAACTAATATCCACGATACATGGAAAAAGTATTTCTTAGTCGAAATTTGCGCTGCTAAGGAGTTTTGAAGCTGAAACAAACATTGTATGCAAAGAACGTTCAGTATTAAGATTAATGAGTAGATTTTGATGATAGTCTCATGCAAGTTGTTAGTTTTTAGAGAGGCAAGGTAATTAGTGATAGATAATAATTCTTTAAAGGAAAAAGAATTGACTGAGATGTTGTTTCACTATCAGCTTTTGTTTTGAAGAGTTTTTACTGATCGAATTTTTACTCACTTGTGATGCTCTACTTTTATATGCTGCATACTTGATGACATTCGTGATATTGCGACTAAAAAGAAGACCAGAAATTGCCTTAAATCACAATGAAATTAAAAGTTGTTTTTTAAAGAATAAAGAGCAAATTCCAGAGGCATTTTTTTGCACCTCTGCTCCAACAATGTAAACTAGTATACTTCTAAGCATTAAAGAAATTAAGAATATCTTTCGTTGGGTAATCAGTAAATTTGACTTCTCTCAAAAACCATATTCAACACTTTCTGAAATTTTCGTTGGAAACACTGTCCCTCTGTCATTTAATTTTTATCTACCCATAAAAAGGTCGGTTCCCAAACATATTTTGGTGCACTTTACCTTTGGGTGACATCCCATATAAAAAAGTCTTGTCAACCTGGGGGCTGCTGCAGACCCCCTGCTTGTACTGTTTAAAATATGTGAAATCAAAGGAAAAAATCAATTAATCTTTGGGACACCATCATCGAATGAAGGTGCCAGCCTCCGTAGAATAATCGGGAAAAGGGCGTAACCATTAGAAAACTTTTAAGGTCATACCCTATATAGAAATTTTTCTTGTAAAAACTTCAGAGCTACACGCGATTGATAGTGCTTTTTTCAAAGGTAAATTAGAAATTAAGAGAAATATGGCAAGTCCTAACTCAATTAACTTTTACTCATTTTTTGAAGAAAAAGCGTAATAAACCCGGAGTAATATTTGGACGAAAGTAAAGCCTAGTAATCCTCACCGTCGACGTAATTACCCCCCCCCCCCAAAAACCTCATTTTCGCCTTCAAGAGCTTATCAAACCAAGCTTGCTCAAATATTGCCAAATTTTGATGGCTGAAATTTCAAAAAGACTTCTAATACTTTGACATTTCGCAAAAATAGTTCTTTATAATTTCCCTTTTGCACTTCTATTATTGAAAAACTTAAAACGTTTAGATATTGTCCGATGCATTTATATGCAGTTTTATCAACAAGATTTCATTGATTGCTGTGTGATGGTGATGATGATGATGATGATGATGATGTTTCCATCTTCAGGGAAAGCCCCGCACAAAAAAACTGATTCTTCCAGGGAGTTCCTCCAGAAGAGCTATCGGCCAATTAGAGACGAGAGGAAGACAAATTTTGTGACAATCGATCTCTGTTTCACCAATCAGCTTCCGCCATTTGTGAGGTTCCCTTGCGACGTCACAATAGAAACGTCATTGACCAATCAGAATGTTTTCATCACGTGATTTGCTTAGCTGCTGCAGACCAAAACAAAATTTGATGGAGGATGTTTTCAGAAGGATGTTTGTGATCCGAGGAAATTTGAGAATTAGTCACCGGCCTGCTATCTTAATGGCAAAGAAATGAGTCATATGCTGGCAGAATAGTGAAAAGGTCACGCGGAATGAAGCCGAACGAAGGTACTCAGTCGTCTTTTAGTTGTGAATTTATTTCGATATATCATGGCCTAAGTTTTGGATTGATTGAAACCATATGCCAGTTATTTATCAATGGTTATCTTTGGGATAGGTGTTTGTTTTTCACTTCAACTTTTCCTGTTGATGGAGCCGAAATGCGATTGACTTCGTCTCGAAAGTTTTATTGTACCAATTCAATCTTGGAGATGGTTTGTTTTAACGAGGTCATATAACCCAGCAGCAAACCAAAATTAAACTTGTAAATTGTGTTTCTAAAAAAAGGAAGTTTTTGCTACCAGTTACTTAGGCCTTCGGATCACAGTGATTTCTAGAAACATGGCCCATTCAATCGTGAAATAACTGATCTTTTAGAGAACAGAAAGAGGACATTCTTTAATCAGCTGAATTTTCCCCCATCCGTTCCCAAATAGTTCAGCTGCCTGTTGATGTCAGATTTCTTTGTTTTTCTTACTTAGATGATATGGTTTCTAAATAAACCTCGTTATTACTGCAATATAATTCTCATATCCAGTTTTGAAAACCACCTTCATTCTTGCCAACCCTCTACTATATTTACCTGCCCGAAAAACATTGTAAGTTTACACGCCCGGTGGTGCATTGGGAAACGTGAGAGATTTCTATTGATCAAATATTCTGAAGATTTTAAATATCTTCAAAATGCGGATTGCTTTGCAAAACCTGCAAGTTTGATATTTCAACCTGCGAGTCAAAAGACCTCGTTACATGAAAGATTTATTTTCCATGTAGATTTGTATTAATTGATCAGTTTTATGGAAATTACCTGTAAGCATTCTGAATCAAAAAATTAAACGGTTGATGAGCTAATTCCTGTGATGAGGCTCTCTTACAGAATCTTAATTTACCAAAGCAATATAAAAGGCTTCACTTTTTTATGCCATAAGTAATTTATCTTCCTGTTTTCAATTTTCAGATAAGAACCCCGAAAGTCTAGACTATGAGGTATCACCTCTGGAAGTGTTTCAAGATGTTGGTGTTTTAATAGTTGAAGGCAGACTGCCAGAATTTTCCTTCAGTGGACGGCGAGAAGGCACCCACTGCTGGCCAGTCAGTCCGTTTTCAGAAAAGAATTGCTGTCATGTGGGCAGTGAAAATAAAAGATCAATGGTATGTCTTGCATTGATACTCAAGCCATAAAATCACTTGTCTTGAAATCTACTTGCAAAATTTAGGTAAATAAAGTCAACTTTGTATCTATGTTTGTCCACAAAAGCAGGTTTTCTAGATACAGTTTGCTTTCTAATTTCTTGCAATCAACAGTCTACATACCAAAGCTTAGAAAATGACAAAACAGTGCGAATTTGTCAAAACCCCTTTTACTTAAACAGCAGAAGCATAAGGCAAGGTCCATCAAAATAAGAGATATAAACACGGACCCAGAATTAAGTGTTGGTCTCACATACATGGTTTGTTAAAAGTCGGTGAATGCAAGGATTTTTGCATATGGCATTCAGATGAAACCTTGTTTATCAATTGAAGTTGTGGCTTTACCAATAAAAGTATTATGTGATTATGTGATACGATACATGTCGTTGTAATGCTCTCATATTATTTTACAGTTTTTCACTTTGTCCAAAAAGCAAGGGAATATTTGTCCCTAAAGGTAGAGCAATGCTATAGTTAGTTGTTAAAATCAGAATTAGGATAATTGAAAAGTTTCAGTCAAATTTGGGGTTTTATGACTGTACAATGTTAAATTTTCTTCCAGTGCAATTTTGTCAAGTCAACTAGAAAGAGAATGGAGGATATTTGGAAAGGAACAATTCCACTTTTTATTGAAGTGCTTGTTTGTCTGGATAACTTGTTTCCTCATACTGGAAAGGAAAAAGACCCTTCTGAAATATACTTAGATTTTCTGCCTGATAGTCGCACCCAAGGAACATTGTTGTTGGAGCGATGGAAACTTAAACTGAATGACAAAAGGTATGTGTATCACCAGACATGCCGAGTTTCAATTTTGAAAGCCCTTGAGTTTTGTAGAAAGGTGGGATCCAGAATTTATCCTTCAGACACCGTTCCATTCTGTTGTGTAGGCTTGGCCTTGTTAGAAAAAAGGTATTTTGATAGGATTTGGAAAAAAAGTTGAGGGATTTGAATACCAAATTTAAAACCAAGAGCTTTTTTTGAAGAATGCGTCTGATTTCTGCTCTGATGCATTTAAGAGTGAGATTGATTCAAGTGCGCATGTCAAAATGTGTGATGCTCAGAATGTCTATCTAATGAGTAAATGTATCAGGCCTCATCTGGCTAAAAGAACACTAGATTGAAATTTTCTTGTTGGTTTGAATATAGAAGTCACCAATGAACTGGACTTTTTTGACTGTTCAAACAACAAGGAGTCTTTTCAGAACAAAATTTCTTTTTCATATTGTTGAAGAATTTGTCCAGTATATCAAGATCTTGTGATGTTTTGCTTTCCCTGGAAAAGTGAGGGACACATTAACCCATATGGTATAATAAATATTTTTCAGCTCATTATTTCTAATTTATGTTTCACTTTTTTGTATTCGCAGCTTCAGTTCAAGTCCTTCATCATTTGTGAGCATCAATATGTTGTTACAGGCAGTGCGATCTTTTCTACATTTCTCACAACTAAGTGCCTGGTTGATTAGGACAGGAGGCAGAATACCAAGCTCTTTAATTTACAGGTCTGTTATTTCCATTTCAGTTTTTGAAGTTTCTGTTCATTTTTTGCTGTTTTGACTTATTAGATAGCTTTTATGTTTTCTATGATTCTCAAACATCATGGAAGGTATGGCAATTTAATATGTCTACATTATTTTTGTCGCAAAAGTACTTTAAAATACTTAACTACTTAGTAGCTAATTTTTTGGCAATATTTAATATTTGTTTATTTGTATAGCTATTTGATACTGTTTTTAATTTTCACAGGATAGTTAAAGAAGAGGATGTCCATCCATTAGATTTCATCTCACCCCCAGAGGCACACACTTTCCCACAAGCATTAATTTCAAGAACTGAAGTTGTTGAGACAATTGTGCACTCATTACCAAGGTTGAACCTGGAAACACTTATATCAATGAGTCCATATCGAGAGTTTAACTTATTAATTGAGAGGCAAATATGGATGTGCTCACATGAAAAAGCTGTACAAAAAAGTGAATTTGGAATGGAGATATCAAACAACTCAACTGATTCAGAGGAAACTCCTTATAAGAAAAAACTGACTAAAGGAAGTGAAAATGGATGTCAAAATGGCACACATTGTGATGTAATTTTTGTACCAGATCCTGTTGTACGACCACGGATTAAATTACAAAGAGAAAGAACAGGAAAGATAGGCGCAGCATTGAGGAAAAGGTTGTCCTTTGAATGTGATCAGCAGACAACACAGGAGTTACCAGGTTCACAAAAGTTTGAAAGATGGCAGAAAAAAAATGGGCCAAAGTGCAGAAGAATGTTTAGTTTTGAGGGAGGTGATGATAGAAAGAAAAAAACATTAGAATCTCGAGCAATTTCATGCCAACAAGGTAAAAAATGTGAAGGAAATAGTGGTAATTCAGATCATGATTTTGATGTTGTTATGTCACTTGAAGATGAATGGAATGCTAAGTCATCTAAAACTGCATTGAATGAAGACAATTCTGTATCAAAAGGAAATATTCATAAAGACCTGGTTGCTAGTGATAGAAGTAATGACTGTCAGCTTGTTTCAAGCAGAAATCCCACTGTAGAAGACTGCTCAAGGCATAAGATCTTTCACATTGGGACTGAAGATGGAGACGATAATGTGTTTAAAGACAATAACAACTGTAAAATTGACAACATGGTTGGTACTAGTGAAAATGGCTTGGGCAGGTTTTCAAATGAAAGCAGGTGTCAATCACGTGGAAAATCTTCTGCAAATGGAGGAAAAGTAGTCACAAACAGTTGCAATGATGGTGTCAAATGTGATGACAGAGAAAGTGAAAAGCAATTTGATCTAAATTTAAATGTAGATAAAAACACTGCAGACAGTGCAATAACTAAGCTTGAGTCTCAGGTTAACAGTTTATCATTTGCTGAGCAAATACAACAGAATGGTAACGATAAAGGTGGGAAGAGTTCAAGAATTCAAGTTGAAAATGAAATGGAATCATCTCTGCCAGATGGAAAATTACATTTAGGAAGGTGTTTTTCTTCAGCAAACTTCTCAAAGAATACCAAAGAGAAGGTAAGGTATTCTTTTCGACAACATATATATTAGTTTTTCACTTAATGAATCTTAAACTTGCTTTTAAAAACATTTATGTCAGGTTTTTGCATTTTGAAATAATTTTTTTGTAATTCTTAATTGGAAGTCTGAAGAATCAATGTTTATTTGGCTAGAATGTAGTCGATTTTGTTGTTCTTAATTGCTCCAATGATAACAACAACGAGCCATAACCATTAACTTGCTAGATTTGAAAGAGAGAAGTAGAATCTTCAGTTAAGAAATTGTTATTGTTTGCCAAAGACCAATTTATACAAAGATAATTTTTCTTCTGAAAAAAATGAGCTTTTCCTATTGTCTGCTTATAAAGCCATGGACTTAAGCCAGATAGATTGATCTTAATAAGAAAAGTTTCAGTTCTTCAGCAGATACTGATTTGTACTTGTCATTTGTCGCTTTGCTTTCCTCAACATAAAGGGCACTCCCAGTATTTCTGAATACATAACTTTTTGGGTGTAGTTCAAAGATCTTTTTCCCTTGGTTCTCTAGCTCTCCCAGTGATGACTGCAACAATTTTTTATAACAATCCTGCGTGACTATAATTAATTTTGTTTCAGATGCGCAGATCAGAGTCTTACACAGGCGCGAGGCCCATTCCCTTTGCAACACGACTTTCTCTAGGCGCTTGCACCGTTCCCGTGTTCCATGCAAAAACCGGTCTTCCAGTTGCGTCCAGTCCAGTAAGTTAGTTCTTGGTTTTTGTAATACTTGACCATATGTGTTTTTTTGTTACTTCAGTTTTTTCAGAAAATATCTTTTGGAAATTTCGGGCGTGGAAAAGACAGAAAGAGGTCTTATAAGTTCTAAAAACTTGAACTGCCAGCAGTCATTCTGCTCAGCTGTTCCAGGATTAAACTTCCTTTTTCGTAGGTTTGTAGAGATACTTAGAGTTAAAGCTAGCATATGCAACCTACTTTTCAATAGTCTATTTAATGAATCTGTTAGAAACTAACATGCAATCATATGATTCACAACATTCAGGGTTGAATCTAAAAATGCATCCTTCTCTAATAGTTTTTAAAGATCTTTGGTAGCCCCTCAGTCAATGGACTCATTACCAGGAGGCCATGCTAAAATATGCAGAAACAATTTATGCATAAATAAGATATTTTATGCAAATGAATTGAATAGGAAGATTTTTCATGAAAGCATGAGCATTTTATAGATTTCATGAAATTCTTTTTTGTAAGCTTTTTCTAAGGCCTTTTTATTGAAAACCAATCCAGCGAGTTTCGCACCCTGGTAAGAGAATATTTTCTGTCCTGTTGTCTTTTTTGGAAAGGGGGATGCTAATTTTTAAGTTGCCCCTCCCTCAACTAGGGGCAGTTGCCCCTCCCTCAACAAGTTGAAGCAAGTCTGGCGCCCCTTTTTTGGAAATTGTGCACCCCTTTTGTAGAATGAGTATCAGATGAAAATGGTTCTTGGACCGAAAGGTTAATTTGCTTCAAGGATTACCTCAGAGTTATGTTGTTTATTCTGAAACGGTATCTGAAATTGTTGTATACAGCGTACTCTCGTAACCAATTTTTGAAAATTTTTTAGCGCCCCTCCTATTACCAACTGCCCCTCCTTCAAATTTGCTCTGGATCCGCCCCTGGAACGGGATTTTAGTAATCAACTTTGCCGCCCTTTTTTACAATACAAAAAAATACAATTTTGCAACTTTCAAAATAATTTTGCAACTTTCAAAATAGTTTTGCAACTTTCAAAATAATTTTGCAACCTTCTATAATTGATGCACCAGCATTACCTAAGACAGGGCAGCAGTAACTGAATTAGGGTTCTGCCAGGGTTGTAAACGACGTCTCCGTAGTAGAGCCCAAGTATATACTGTTCTGCATACCGTAGAACCTAGGTTTTTTCTGGCAGCCTGAATAGGTCTTTTATTAACAGGCTGCTATTCTAAATTCCAATCTAAAATGTTCTTAACAAGGTTCTTATATACGTACAGGCCTTGGACACATTCACAATGTTTTCCACCGCAAGAATTCTAATGGACACACTTAAACTAGCTTTGTTTTTCGTGTTAAATTTCAACCAATAAAATGAATTTGTGTTGTTAGATTGTCCAATTAAAATGCATCATACCATAACCTGATTTACTCTAAGCCGGTTTAATTTGCCAGTGTGAATAGGGTGTAAAAATACCATTCTAAAAACCCTTTTTTCCTTTTATATCTATAAGAATCCTTCCAAAGCTCAGCCTCTTGGGGGTTCTTAATGATGGGCTTCAAAAGATTAATTTTCAGCATCAAGGTTCTTATAAAAATGGTTCTTTTATGCGGGTTTTTACTGCACCTCTTGAAATCCTTTTCATCACAGTAACGGTAGCTGTCTATTAAATTTGTTTTTGCAAGGGTCGAGCTTTTACGTTTTTTTGCAAGAAAAAAGCACTAAATCAGGATTTATATAAGAATGTGCTTTTCCTTGTTGTGAATAGTTTGTGTAAACATTAGGGTTCCTTCGACAAGCAGTAATCTTCTTAAAGAATCAAATTGAAATGGAAAGTAGATTTAACTATTTCATGATAGTGGCGAATTGTATCGAAAAAAGGATTGTGATGATTTCACTGCATGTGGTCAGGGGCGGATATAAGCAACAATGATTGGGGGGGGGGAGGTGTTAGACACTCATTTTGGTGCCACACCCTTCAGGTCACTGGTAAATGATGGAAACGCCCGTTTTTAAAATTTGGTTTTCAACTTTAAGTTAGAGACCATACAAAGCAGTGGCGTAGCTAGGGTTGGAAGATTGGTGGGGCAAAGGGGAGAAATTATTTTCTGACCAGACCCCTAAGAATTTGGGAAAACACCCATTTTGTAAATGCGTTTGGAAAAACTATGGCATTTTTACGTGGCAATTCCCCTTTTTACAACGTCATATGAAGCGTTTTGTGGCTGACCACATTCTACAACTGTCTATTTCCTTCACCATTCCACTAACCTTTATATCCTGAATTGTGTAAGGCTAGGAAGTACTAAACGTAAAAAGTGATTTTCCAAAGTTGTTATCAAACATCCAAAAATAGTAAACAGTGTTCAAAAGTTTGAAACCAAGTCCGTTTTCCATGGAGCGAAATCTACGAGAAGCATTTCAGAATCCACTTTTTTAAGGATTGGATTGCTTTAGCATTTTAGTTTATTTTTATCGGGAATGTCTCAAGAACGTGAAGAACTTTTCTATACAAACGAGGGGAAGTGTTGAACATTCTGTACAGATAGAGAGGGGGGTCTCCTGTGAGCGAAGCGAGCAGAAAATTTTTGCGACAACTCCGAATATTCCTTCCCCCCCCCGCTACGCTACTGATAAGAAGATAAATACTGCTAAGAAAAGAATAAAGTAAAATTTTGGCGTTATTTTGTTAATACTGACTACCAACAAATGATTTTTACCGAATGAAACAATGTTTACCGAAAGACACATAAATATTGGGGAGAGGGGGGGGGAGGGGGAGTGTGTCGCACCCCCTACACCCCCCGCTAAATCCGTCCCTGCATGTGGTGGCTACAAAATATATGGAGTTGGACATATCCTCATCGTTTTTATGAATTTAATGATTTGGTGTGTCGAAACAGAAAATGTTTGGCAATGTTGGTCTTCGATGGGCTTGGATTTAACTTTTATCTAGGGCAAGGTCGGATTGGCAAAGAAACTTTGTAAATCGGCCGAATTTAATCAGCGCTAATTAGAATATGCAGAGGGCTTTTAAAAATGTATCAAAGGTCATCAGTCAAATGGAAGAGAAATTTCGAAAAGTAAAAAAACTTGTTATAAGCCCATCAGGAAAAGGCTTTGAAATTTGGTAGATATTGAAAGTGCTCTGAAAAAACCACCGAAACAGAACTAAGCTTGTAAAACTTACAAATTCTTTGGTTGGAAAATAGCAACTCGTCTTTTTGAATGAATTCAAGATTTGACAAGCAAGCTCGCTTAAATGGGTTCGCAAACCAAACCTTCCTTCACGAAAGAGCGACATGAAAATACTTAATATTTCATCTAAGGCCGATGCAAAAGTAGGAGAAAAAGAGAGTCAAAGATACGGTTTTAACAAGACAAAATATTTTATCAATATTGCAATATTTACCTTGGTTTTCTCGCTGCGACTGTTTCCTTTCAAGGTTTAGTTTTGATTTTTAGCAAAGAACTAGGCCATCGCAAGAAGCGTGGCGAGATTGTGGAATCCCCTGTGCCCCTCTCGCAATTTACAAAGGTTCTTTCACAATAGACATTGCCCCCATGCGAATTGCTCACTGTACTGTTTTCAATACAATGTTCGATTCTCATTGAACTGGGCCACTGGGAATGGTCCCCTAGGAATGGTTTCTAGATGAAAATGACAACATCTTATCAATCAATCGAAGCAACTAAACGTCAATATGGCCCTCTTTTCATCTTTTGTAAAAATGTTATTTTTCGAGCAGGTCTTCCTACTAATCTTTTTTCTCCATAAAAGATGAGATACTCAAGAAATTTGTTAACGATGGTCGCTGATAGATTGAATATTTTCCGCCTTAATTTCAAAATTGTACGTTTTTTGACAGGAATACCAATTTTAGCAGAGTCCAATATCAAGATGAGAACAGTTGCCATTTTAACTTTTGTAGTGCCCCCTGTCCCTGGCAGCTTTTTGATTATTTCATTTTTATCACAGGCGCCATTGAGAAGGCCCGAGAAGGCAAAAAACGGCGATGAAAATGGAAATGAAAACGGGACATTGCTGTCGCCAAGGTAACTAAATCGTCATCTGCAACTTTCGCGCGCAATTTTTGGGAAATACTAGAAATGTCCAATGACGTTTTTAATCCACTTTCTATTGTACCATGTTGCTGTTTTAGCTTTATATGCTAAATATTTAATAAAATTGAATTATTTTTAAGCGTGGAAATCAAGAAATCTCGAAAGTCTTCCTGTGAATATGGCGGGCTCCAAAGCAGCAAGCTCCTGAGCAGAAGTGCCCCCGCATCTACGCGTCTTCTCGGCAACTTCGAGGTGCGAAACACCCTTTATTCTGAGCACCCCTTTGTACACAGACCCTTGTACATATAGCTTACAGAAGTCACGTAAATCTTATGTTTCTCCATTTTTCTCCCTTGTTTTCTCTTTATGTGTATTCGCTCATGCAAGGTCGCGATTTCAACTGTTACAACCGTAGGCCCAAATTTGATGGATACCCCAAGAACGGGGTGATTTATATTAAGTAAAGATTAGGAGAGAAATTTCGAAAACCTAAGCACGTTTTACAAGCACACAGGAGAGTGTCCCAATTATGATTTCTGCTCTATCGTGACATATCGTTTGTATATCTGAAGCTCAGTAGGCCCAGGGATAAATGAGACACTATGTAGATATGAAGATAACCTGCAGTCGTACTCCGAAGAAAAGCAATTAGGAAATTAGCCCGTTGAAACTTGAAGGGTTTACCCTAAGCCGCAATAAACATTACAGGAGCTAAAATGTTTCCCTTGCCTAGAAGTGCTTTTATGCGTTGAAATTAAATCAAAGTTGATATTTATAAAATTTTAATTTCCCAGACATTTCCAATCAAGTTTTAGTCTTTCGCTTTACTTTGCATTTTTAAATTCTAGGAATCTGTTTTAAAAGGACGAATTCCTGTTTTTGGAACTGTTGAGGTAAATTTTACCATGGTTTATTTGACAATATTTTTACTTCTCAATTTTTTATAAAATGTTTTTTAAGAATAAATCTATTCTCCATGTATGTTTTTGGTTCTTCGTTTTGTCATAAGTTCCAGTGATCTTGAAATGACTGCTTACATGCTATGGAAAATAACCCTTTCAATCTTTGACATGTCCCCTTTCTCAAGTTTTTATCGTTTCTTGAACATCTTTTAGGGTTTCACAGCCGAAATTGGTGCAAGTGGTTTGTTTTGCCCCAAACACATCACCTTACCGATCAAATGCCAATTCTTTAGGACATCTGATGACAATGCCCCCTCACCTTATATGGTAAGTGCTAGGGATGTTTTGCATGACTCCCTTTCCAAATGCTACATCCTTCACTCCCTCTTTGCCTTGTGCACGTCAGGTCACAATGTCACGTGGTCTTTTTTCACCTAGGGGCACATTTCGCTGCGAAACTCAAAAGGCAAAAAAGGCTATCATGTGCCGCGCAAGGGAACAATTCAACTGGTGAAATATTTTCTTTTTCTTTTTTGACTTTTAAATCACTTTACAATTGGTTTGTTCTGTTTTTTCCTCTAAATTAAATTGAACCAGGCTCATATCGGCAGTGCCAAAGTGAGCCCCAATTGGGCCTGATGCTGCACCACAAAAAGGGCATTTTTGGTTCAGGAAAGTTCTCGTTAGTTTTCACCTGGGTCTGTTTCAGGAATAGGCCTAATGCTGCAGCACTAATAGCACTCGCCGTTATCCAGCCCTGCATACCAGCAAGGTTGAAAAACGGCCAAAATTATTGACTTATTTTCTTCTATGCTCGTTTATCACTAATCAGTCCAAATGGTATTTAGCAAAAACTTCTTCTTCGCCATCTACATCTGTTGATGTTTCTACTTGTCTGATTGTTATTTATTTTTTATTTTAATATAATCAAATGTATGTGATTGATCAAAACCATGAACCTATCAATCGAGCCATTATTTTTTTACCCATACATGGATAAAAATGTCTGCCTGGCTTTTGGCCACAGCAAACTTTTAATATGATCTTTCTGCATTTTCGCATTAATTTGAAACATAAATTTGTGTGTAACTTTTGTGTTTTCTTTCGTAGACGCTTTTCAATCCAAACAAAACCGTTCTCAAGGTCTTCGTCGTTTTGTACGATTTCATGGACATGCCCGCAGATTCGCATACCTTCCTTCGCCAGAAGATTGTTTCGGTCAAAAAATATTCAGATGACAAGGTGAGCTAATTTTCAAATTTTCCTTTACGTAATTTTGTTCTAAGCATTTATTTCGTGAGCATTTGAAAGTCATAAGAGACAGGGAGTATAGTTTTATTGGGAGGCATTTGATGGAAAAAGGTTTTCTCTCTCTGTGATGCAACTTAGAGCAGAAAAAATTTGAGATATGTATCTATGTTAAGCATATTTTGTACAATTTTGGCTCTACCCTTTTGCCATTTGTTTGTCGGAATTGCTATGTCAATGCATGTAATCGGAGAATTTTCAAGCATACCAGTGTCACGAAATCGTGTTTTTTCTGAACAAATAATTTCTATTTTTGTTTTTCAGGATGAGCAGCAAAATCTTCATTATTTGGTTCATTTAAGGTTCGTCCTGCCTTCAATGGATTTTTTTGTTTTTAATTTCCTTATCAACTCTTTCGCTTTTTTATGGTAACTTCAGTATTTTACCTTATTTCTGTGTTCGCATAATGTAATTGATGCAACAGAAACGGAGTTGTTTCTGTTTTCGTTGATAATTTCAAATTCTCTCACATCCTAGGTTTGCTTCCACCAAGCATGATCGGATCTACTTGCACACTGATGTCCGAGTGATCTTCCCGCAGCAGACTCCGGACACGACAGGATCGAATCTAAAAATATTGACCTATGGTCCAGTGGAGCCTAAATACACGCCAAGAGATCGGTGACAACCCTGCTTATCTTAGCCTTATTTATACAATGTATATTTGCATCCAATGATATTACTACACCTTAATATAGAATGTATGCCTGTTGCTTGTATACCATAGTTTATAATAGATCGTATGCCTGTGTGTACGTCATACCAAATCTTAGACCATATGCCTTAAGCTTGTATGCTACTTTATAAAAGGCCTTATGCATGTTAACTGTGGTTGCTCCATTTGCTAGGCGTTGCCTTGCTTGCTTGAATGTTGCCTCGCAGTTATCGTTGCAGCCTCACCACTATGTACTACACTCAGTGGAACAATTAACCATCATCGCAGGTGTTTTGTTTGGATCCATTTAGGTCCCGTGCTTTTTTCACGCGCGCCCTCTGCACGGGCTCTACCAGGGTCCTGGTGGATCTTGGCGGGTTAAAATGGCTTTCCGATTTCACATTGCCATTATGATCCAATCTTAGTTTGTTTAGTTAATTTTTAATGAATTGCAGCTTAAAAGATGGACGATTCCAAATGATGTTTCACGGCAAATTTCTTGAGCATTGCAAATGTTTTTCTTCTGGTGAGGTTGAAGATACTTGTTGTCTTGATTTCAATCTTGAATTCTTAGTTTGTATCGAATTATTCATTATTAATATATGCTAATGTACCCAAGTTGTGTGCGTGTGAATAATTAGGCAATTGATGCTAATGTATTTAGTTTGTTAAGTCTATTATGCATCTTTACTTAGGAATATTAAATTATTTATAAATGGTTAGGTTAGCTCTGTACAATCTTCGATTTACTCGAATGTTAAAAAATTTTTGGTGTTGAATTTTTTTTGCTAATGGCAAATGAAATTTATTTCTTGTTTTTCTCTACAAAAACCCAACCATTCAGATTTTGTTCCTCTCGCAAAGCATCTTGGAAATATGGTAAGCAGGCTGCTTTTGCAGGAGCTGTTCCAAGCCCGAACTTCGCTTAGCACAACCGTTATGGAATTGAATGTTTCTGGACTGTCCTCTAATTTCATTGGAAGTTTAAGGACATATTGGGGTTGCCGTAACTCCAGCACTGCCAGGAGACATGCCCCCATACGAAGGGCGAATCGCTCTATACAAATCTTGTGCACCTTTGGTAAAAATCCTATTGTTGTATCAGAAAATCGCTGGAAATCCTTTAGCTACCGCTACTTGCAAGAGTGGGTCATTTCATAGTAGAGGCACCCTTTATCAAGGACATATTGGGGTTGCCGTAACTCTAGCACTGGCAGGAGACATGCCCCCACACAATGATGGAGAGCATTCTCGATGGTTTTGTCTTGGTAGAAGTGATTGGCAAGATTGAAAATAAGTTTCATTTGTATCCACGACAGCCTAGTGAATGTCGGCGAGTAGCATTTGCTCAAGGGTTGTGGGCGAAGCTGACAAATTTTTCAATTCGTTATGATTGCAGTGCTATGATTGCAGTGGTATTTGTCAAACAATCCTTATGCAAAAATCGCATGCAAACATATTTATGACGCGCTGTGCGTTCTTTATTGATTTGCTTTATTCAACTTTAATCTCATTTCTTTGTTGTTGTTGGTTTGATTCTCTTCTTTTTCAAACAAATTTAATCGATTTCGCCCACACTAATGTCCAATGTGACTCCAAGGGAATCTTGAACAAGCACCAAAACATTTTCGAAGTATGTGTAACAAACCAGAACGTCCGATCAGTGATTTGGTTTCATCTAATAATTCCTGAACTGCCTCTGCTGTTCGAGGTTCTAAAAATGCCTTGGGTTCCTCATTGCGAAGTATTTTCCGTTGCGATCTGACAGCGAAATTTTGGAAAGCAAGTTTTCAATGCGATGACATATTTTCACAACAGCTGCCAAATTTTTAGAACATTCTTATGAAAGCTTTCGAGCTTTACAAACGTTTTCAAGTCGTCAAAGATGCAACAATTCAGGCTTCAGTCAATTGAAGTCGAAAGTGAGGCTAGGAATTTTTCTCTTTGATAAGCTAAGGAATTCTTTATTTACATTTTCAAATTTGGCGCTGAAAAGAAGAATGTCAGCTGTCAAATGTAAGCCAATCAATGCAAGGAGCAGGGAATGACCTTGATGCTGATTGGTTTAGCTCTGACATGTTCTTAGAGATGTGCAGCTGCGTGAAGTTCTGCGAGCACATGTTCCATTTTGTAAAAACACAAAGGAAGAAAGTCATTCTGCGCCCGAGAAAGTTTGCATGGCCTAGGAACATGCGATAATTCAAAAATATGGAAAATATTTACGAGAGGTGTTCCGAGAGTGGGAAAGAAGAAACAGGCACCGGATTAGAGTCTAATTTCACGAGTGTTTTTCAACAGCTCGTGGAAAAAACAGAGGAGAGAGGAACAGAAGGAACCACGTCGTGGGCCTCAGTCGATTCAGAAGGCAAGGCATTGGAGCACCATGAAGAGAGCAGCCCACAGCAATCGCAAAGCAAAAGCCAGACAAGTTCAACGATAGTGGAAAGAAATTTGGAACTTCACTTGAGGTAAGACGGCTTTCAAGGTTTATTTGTTGAGCAGCAACGTAAATTAAGGAACATTTTTGTCTTTCTAGTGAATGGGCGTTGAAATCTCTCTGGAATTTGGTGTCATGTGAGTTAGAATGATTTCACCATGGAGAAAATGGTCAACAAAACGAGGATTGTTTTTCGCATAAATATTTTCAAGTTTGCAATTCTTGAAGTTGTGGATTGTTTTGCTGTTTATGTCTAAAACTAGGCTGGGAAGGTGTGATTAAAGGTGTATTTTCTTTTGTTTAAGTGTGTTTCGACAAAAGTCACAAAGGGTTCTTCATTTACAGGTCCAAATAGTGTGGAATCCTTGAAAGATTTCCTGTTTGGAAGAAATAATAGCCCGAATGCCCTTTCTTGTTTTACTTAATCTGTATTCGTACCACCCTACATAGCTGAAACACGAAAATCAAGCGTGGACTGCTAAAATTTCAGGCCCGGAATGAATGCTTAGGCCTAGGCCAGTCTAACCAGGTCATGTTTACAAAACGCCGCGTTAAAGTATTTCTTTGAATTAAACAAAAATGTGATAGCCAATGCAGATGTAATTCCTATGTTTATCAAGCTCACATTGCGAGATTTTTAACTCTAAAGTCTGACTTCTTAACCGAAAATACAGATGAATTATTAAATGCATGTTATTTTAATTCAGAAATGCCTGATCGCTCATGCTTTCCTTCGAAATCTTTAGTTGAGTGTGGCCTTAATTTGGTTGGTGGAATTTTAGAAATTGCATGCGTTAAATCAGGCATTGATTTTAGTTTCCCACCCTTCTGGTTTCCCACCTGAGGAAAATATACTGAAGTGTGCCGTACACATTTCAACACTTTCTTCATCCCGAGACCCTCGCCATGCCTTTGAAAATGAAACAAAACCACATCCAGAAAGGAGCCTTCCCTTCCATCCTACCACCAGCATTGGGTAATGGAATCTCAAGAAAGTGCTAGGTTTTGAGATAATGATATTTTGTATTTTTTTTCAAAGTTTGATGCTTTCAAAAGTGATTTTCAATGTTTTTGTAAGAAGGGATTGTTGTGTTTGCGGCAACGTGATCGTCGAGACCAGATGGTTGACCAATTTGGTATTTGGATGCAAAGAATGGAAGGAAAATACAGCTCCAGTAGGACTGAACAGTTTGAAATTGATGATGGGTTTTACAGGGTCCTGGGGGCAGTGCTCTTCCTTTTTGTCTTTTAAAAAAGGCAGAGTAGGGGCTGCAGGTTTGATAGGGGGTCCATGATATCCCCTTTCATGCTATCACCAAGGCTTTCCTTATAAGTAAGACATCCCCCTTTACAAGGAATCCAAAAGCATGAGAAAATCTGTATCCAACTCATGTGTAACTGTTTGAAAACTGTATGAAGTAACTTTTTATAAATTCTGAAATTTATATTGCAATTTTTTTCAAATTTTAAAATTGGTTTTATTCAGCTTGACAATAATTCAAAAGTTTTTCATAATTGAAAGTTATTTCAATATGCAAAATATTTAGTATGTGAATCATCAGATAGAGCTAATAGAACAAAAGGGGGTGATGGTTGAACACTGATAGGGTGGGGGGGGGGAGGCTGTTCCACCAATCAAATTGTGCTTAATCGGCATTTAAATGCATGCAAGAATGCTTAACATCTTTGAAGCATTTCAGAAACCATGTCTTGTGAATAAAATATATATTTCAAGGAAGCTTATCGATAATTTAGGTTCTTTTTGTGCTGAGGCAAAATTATGTAAATTGATATCTAAAATACTGTTACCACAAACATGATGAGCAATAGGGACCATTTTTTGAGGTATATCAACACCATCTTTGCATGTAAATGTCATTTATATTTATTTTGATAATACATTAAGGCTCCTCTGCTGTGCTAAAAGTTTCTGTGAAAGACTCCTAAATTACTTGAACTTGCTGACCACTCCACTTGTTTTCTCACAAAAAATCTTCAATATTTGGATGGAAATAGATGATCAGATATTATATACTATTTTATAAGGAAACTGAGATAATCGCAAGAAATATCAAATTGAAAGATGGATGAGAAACTTTGCTAGCAACAAATATGTTTTTCTGTCTTATTCAAAGTTTTATTTCAAATATAAAGTTCTGAATTTGAATTCAGTTGATTTGAAGTATTTTCAAATTTTAGCCTTAAACCTTAGCAACAAATATTTAGTATTAGAAGATTTTTTATACAATCTTGCATTGCTTGTTGATGGAAATCATCCTGGAACATTGATAAATTGCAAAGCTGCTTTGGTATCATCATATTGGAATAAAGCAAATTAAATGGCTACGCATAAAGTCACAACAGCCGGAATTTCAACAGCAATACTTTTTTATGTTTAGCAGAAAATGAAAAGGAACCAAGCTTTGGTTTAGTTTATTGGCCATGGGGAACACACTCGATTTTAAAAGGGAGCGTTGGAGGGGGGAGGGGAAATAGGAGAACTATTTTTTATTCCACGTAAACTGAAGAAACGTGTTGTACTCAAAAGGGCAAGGGCCATTTCCCCTTGGTTTCCTCTTAAACGAGTCCCCTTTATTGCTATTAGAAATGTATTTTACCAGTCAATCGAAGCCATCGACTGACAGTAAAATTTGATTATGATTTGAAGTAACTCCAGTTGTCTTTACAGAGTGAATGATGCTGTTGTGTTCTATTTTGAGGCGATTCTTTTGTGCGCGAAATCTAACGGATTACTCTCTTTGTCTTCCTTCCATATGTCCATCCGTGCACATGTCGAACGACGGACAATTGGCCCATCTCATTTCCAATCAACCGCGTGCGCGAAATTTGTTTAACAATGAAATTAATTACCTTAAACGCAGACATTCTGTGCACGCTTCTTTTTATTTGCCACCAACTTTTACAAACAACTTGGATTCTAATTGCATTTTGACATAAAGTTTTGTAACAACTATTGTAAGTGCTTTATACTGCGAGTAACGTCCTTAGGGTTGGTCGGAGATATTGAGATCTGATTGAGGCTTTCAGGGTGTCAAATTGTCGCTAACAGAGATAATAACACATTTTTGCACAAAGCTGGGTCTGGGAGGAGCAGTTGTAAAGCTAATGATATCTTTATTTTTGCCCTTTCAGTCTTGAAGCGCAGCAAAGAATTCAAGATATATTGGTGAGTTTTCACTTCTCATTTTCATCTTTAAACACGCGTGTAGTCATTCACTGCTAGAGAGCTGACTTTTAAGGAGTCGTAAAGAATTCTTTTTGGGGGGGGGGGGGGGGCGGGGGGCACACAGTAGAGGCCGACTTTTACGGCTGAATGATATCAAAAAGAGACGATTCTACTCAATGCAAGAATCAAGAAGAACTCCTTTGTATGCTAGTTTTGTTTTTGAAACTCTTTTTGGATTTTCTGTAGAAAGGGAGTGGCTGAAGGAGGGAGGGGCTTGTCGGTGTAAATCCCACACATACCGTAATTTGTTGCCTCGGACTGGACTGAGCATACTCAGAAATGGTCACGGAATTAGATGTTCGGTGGGGAATTTCTTGTCGAAGGGTTGCTCCTCCATCTCCAAGTTGTTTCCATAAACCATTGTAGTTGATCTTATAGTTTGAGCAGGGGTCAGGATGCCCGTCCCTTGGCAAAAGCCACGCTGAGTCATCAAACCACCTCACACAGTATTCATTTCAATTATTTGTGTTCTCCAGAATGAGGTTCGCCAGTTGTCAGAGAAAGAGAAGTTGCTTCTTTACCTAAAGCTGCCAACCAAGACTGGGGCGATTGCGGAGGAGAGTCAACCAATTCCTCTCTCGAATACCCGCCAGGAACAGACCCAAGCTTTTCAATGGTAATTATAATAATAATGATCTACTTCTAAGTCCAGATTAAGACAAGCGTTAAATATGTGGGATCTTTTTAACAAACAACATGCAGGAAATTCTTTTTCTCTTCCTCTTCTTTTTCCTCTCCTTCTCCTCTTTTATTTTCTTCTTCTTTTTTCTTCTTCTTCCTTTTTTGTCCTATTTCTTCTTTCTCTTTTCCTTCCTCTTTTCCTTCTTCTTCTTTTCCTTTTTCTTCTGCTTCTTTTTCTTCTTCTTCTTCTTTACGACCTCATTTCCACTTCGTCATCATTTCCTGTCAATTGCATCTTCTTCTTGCGTCACGATGTTGTTCATATATTGCCTCGCACGATGCCTTCACTTGATCTCTAGGATACGACACACTGCAGCTTGACAGACGAATTCAGTGCCATATATGGGTATGGGTATTAAATTGCGCAACACGTGACTTCCATTTTATTCAGATCTTCATGGCAACAATGTTTCCGCATTCAACTTTCCTTTCCATTTCATCTATCCACAGTTCTTTGCTATCAGTCTGTTACCCTTACGTTTTCATTTACCCGTTTCTGTATTAAATCTATTTCTTTGTTTACCAATTTTTAATAAACATTTTATTGTCATTTCTTTGTTATTACCAACACAGGTGTACCTTGTAGAAACGGTTCTCATTTCTGAACAAAATCAAAGTTTTTGCTTCTGTGTTTATTTGTTTCTTGCATTTTTTCGACAGTCTTTATGACTTTGTAGGAACATGACTGGAACATGGAACATGACATCATTGGTCCTGTAGGACGTCCGGTTCTTATGTACTGTTTTTATTATGACGTAAATATGACGTAATGTTGTCTCACGCTAGGCATTGCTTAAGGCGTCACATAACGTTGTTTGCAATATTGTGACGCAATGTGGCTCTATGGCAAACGGTCAATTCGTGACACAATATGGCCTAGGAGCTGATAATGCGACGCGAAATATGGCGCTAAGTAATTTTCTGCTCTGTATCACTTTGCGTGATTTGATTGGTTCATTTTAGGATCCGATCGAACCTGGAAGAATGCGAGAGCACCTACACACTGCCAAAACACGAGGTTTACGACGACTACAGGTGAGTGACGTAATCTTTCTGACGTTAGATCTGTTGCGTGAGATCTGTAGCGGAAGCTCTGTCGCGTAAGATCTGTTGCGTAAGTTCTGTTGCGTAAGTTCTGTTGCGTAAGATCTGTCGCGTAAGTTCTGTTGCGTAAGATCTGTCGCGTAAGATCTGTAGCGTAAGTTCTGTTGCGTAAGATCTGTTGCGTAAGATCTGTTGCGTAAGTAGCGTAAGTTCTGTTGCGTAAGATCTGTTGCGTAAGTTCTGTTGCATAAGATCTGTTGCGTAAGATCTGTAGCGTAAGTTCTGTTGCGTAAGATCTGTTGCGTAAGATCTGTTGCGTAAGATGCACTTTTCTCAAAGCTATAATCGGTGAAATAGTTTGTGAGTCTTGTTTTTTTAGTGTTACAATTCGGGTAAACAAATATTTCTTTTAACGCGATGTTGCTTTGCTACTAGATTTTATTTCTGTTCATTAAGTTCAAGTGAGTATTTCTGTGCTTCTTTCGTTTACTGATTTGTTCATTCTTTCTCAGGTCATATTGCGAGAGCCTCGGTGCCAACCGAACTCTTAGTGCGCCAGATTTTGGAAAAATCATCAAATGTGTTTTTCCAAAAGTCAAAGCGAGGAGGCTGGGGACGAGGGGGAATTCAAAGTATCCTTTTCAATCTATTGTCAATGCAAGGTTGTATGCTAGTGCGTAGAGTTTGAATTACTTGAGTAATATAAAGCTAGGCGAACGGGTCGGTTGAAATGTTCTCATGGCAGTGTGGGGTGGGGGGGGGTTCCTTTATACGGATATTGCATCATCTGTTGTGGCTCCCTTGATACGTTGACGTCAGTGCTGGTAGGTGAAGGACATCGACCGTTATGAAATATGTCATTCCATCTCAACAGCCCCGTGCGATATAAATCAAATACTAGCAAATCTTTTGAATGAATAGATCTTTCAATATCAAAATCTTTTAATTTTTCTTATGTGTAAAAAAGAGGCAAAAATGACAAAGATATATCTTCTTAACTAAGATAGATATTGTTACAGCGGATTGAGGAAGAAATTGTGCAGGGAATCCCCTGCCCTTCCTAATGTGAATGGAAGTAGTGGCGGCGAGGTAAGCATCGATACCTTCGCGTTTTAGCCAATAGATTTTGCAATTACTTCTTCTTGTTTTTGGGTTATTTAAAAATGAGCCATGATTGCTGATTGACAACGGCCATAGAAGGTAGAATAAAAGAAAAAGGACGAGAGGACGAAAAATAATGTTGTTGCTTGATTCTCACCACCTCTAATTTCCAGCTCTCCGTTTGTCCTTACAGGTGAACAACAACCAAGTGAATGATTGCAACGACCTGACTGAAGACCAGACTCTTTCGGCTGCATGCAACCTCGTTTGCGAGTGGGCCAATAAGTTGCTCGGGCGCGTATTTACGACATTGCTTGATCTGGCGCGGTTTTTGGTGGGCGGCAGTTATGTGTCGACGAAATCCATGGCAGCGTTCGTTGTCATGTCAGCAACTGAAAGCAAAGTTCGCAAAATGTCAGAAAAGTGAGTTTCTTTTGAACTAGCTATTTGTGAAAATCTACCAGGTTGAGTGATGGGGTCGGTTAAGATAAATCTCGCGCTTTGAATGTTCTAGAAATGTTGGGCTTCTTGCAAGCGCTTCATGTATGTATCACAGGTTACTATTTCGTGCCTCTTCTTTTCATTATAAATACGAAATGTCTTTTTGGTTTTCAACCAGTCTTTAAAATACATACATATGCAGCTGACCCTGCTTTGTCAATAAACGTTGGCCCCACTCTTTATATCGTTTATATTTATCTTTCTTATATATTATCATTAAAATATTTTCAGTCTTAGAAAGAAAACATTTTACTGTGCCATTCAAAACAGCAAAAATACATAATGTCATCTGGCCCTTTTCTGAATGACTCTCATGTTTATACTTATTTAATGATGATCTGGGGTGGCTTCGTACCAGACAGTCAATTTATCTAAATTTTGAAATGTAAAATCAAAACTGGGCGAACGATTTCAAGCTTTTCGGTTTCTAGTAGGCATGCTATGTGTGTTTGTGTATATTCTCTGTGAGACGTTGTATTTATAATCTAAGTATGATGGACATTCTCTGCGAGGCTTTGTTTGGCTAGATCTGACACAGAGTTCACTTATAGTTTTTGACTCTTCTCAAACAATGAAAGGAATTGTTGATATTGTCGATATAAGCACCCTGTGAGAAGCGTCATTACAAACAAGGGTAGTTTGCCTTACTTCCCTGCCGAATTAGGATCGTGGTCTTTATCTTATTTATAGTTTCTATCTTATTCATTATCTCTCTATTCTCTTCGCTTATAAAATGCCATTCTTGTTTTTAGGTTACAATTTCGCTCCTCCTCCTCATCTACTAATTCTATCTCACCCGACTCAAAATCAAATTCATCTGATGGAAAACGGTCTCCAATTAGTACACCAACCTCGGTTTCAAGTGACAACCTCCAAATCAAGCCACAGTTGTCGGTACCAAGTGCTTCTTCCCAACCAAAAAGCTGCTACCAAGCAAATCGCACTGTTTCAAATGGAGGCTCTGAACGGCCGCAGTCATTGCCTGGGCTTAAGGTTGCTATTGGTAACCAAGATGTGTTCAAGCCAGGCAACAATCTAATGTCTCCTCCACAATGTCCTCCCCTGAAGACCCTAACGAAGGCGGTTCCACCTTCACTTGGTTCGCCGAGGTACTCCAATGCAGTTGCACAGGCGCGTGGAAACATCACTCCTTCTAATGGTTTTGCCCAAGCGAGTGATGGCACTTTCCCTGTGGCTCCGCAGCAACAGCAACAAAGCTTTAACTCACATACGCAGATCTCAAGTCCCACGCATGCGTCAAAGCGACAGACACATGTTCAGCGGACAACCACTACGCTCAAAAGGTCTGACTCGTGCCCATACCCCTCTCAGTCACCACGAAGCAACAGGCCAGTTGTAGGGAGCGTAACCACAGCTTCCCTTTCACCAAGGATTCAAAGTGACGTCATTCGGTATGTCTAAAAGCTAAATTGCTATTTTAGAAACAGGGAGTGGGAGTATGAGGGGCTTGGGAGTATGAAGGGGGGGGGGTTAATGGTAAATTGCTGATTTTGCACGGAAAAGACTAGAGCTGTGATTTCAATCATACTTTTGTGATAAATGGCGATAAATGTTTGAAATGTGTTTTGGAAGCGTCATGACGGAGTTTTGATTTAAGGCATTGAGTCACGATAAAGGAGAGGGTGTACCCAAACGTACCCGCATTAGTCGAGTCATGGTTTTCGTGCAGCAATGCTGTTGGTTGACCTGGAACTGGGCACATGAAATCACCTTTCACTGATTAACAAAATAGTTTTCATCAGTTGTCAACAACGGATGCCAATATCACATGAAACTGCAGCGATCACGCCGAAATCAAGCGACCCCTTATAGAGAGATCTATTTACCACGACTCAATGCCTTTAATACAAAAATTAGTTATCTGCCATTAGATGTTTTTGATTCCTTGATTTGTTTTTAGAATTTATCAGAATAGGCCAATAACTCGGCGCATCATGGCTGCAATTCACTGCGACCGTTCGTTTATTTTGAAAACATTAAAGCATCCTCTTGTTTCTCTCCAACAGAAACCACAGTTGGCAAAGTCCAATAGGGAGTCTAGAACCAAGCCCAGTCGGAGCTGAGATGCATGCCATGAAGAAGATGATGCAAGACCAGCTGATTTCGCCGCTGCACAGCACAACTCATCATGACATCATGACAACACCCGAAAATAGACAGCCATTGTTGCAGAGGTGTCATTCGGTACCAGTTCCCTTCAGTTCCCCTCAAGCAGAAGTGTATTCGGCACCATTATCCTCCCAGATTGGGGCCCAGTCTGTCATGTCGCCAATGGGAGCCAACAGGGGCTCCCCTTTTGCCCATTTAAAAGAAATGAGAACCAAGTTTTTAAACAACGAAATGCAAAGTAATGCGAGGAGGAATTTGACGCCATCTTTTTTTGGAAGTGATGGTGACTTGAATTTAAAGAAGGCACGAACTCTCCCTAGGACTGTCGAAAATGAGGCTGCCTCAATCCCAGACAGAAAGCCACAAATGGCAATAATCGACGAATCGTCTTTAGCCTCAGTCGATAGTTTAATTGATTCGCCGTTTTCACTGGGAGGAATCGATTCCGCCGGCGGCTGCAATAGTGTCACCGATAATGGCGGGAGTGGCCTCAGCGACCTTGACGGCCTGGATGATGCAGTTACCATGGATTTGTTAAGAAGTTTGAACAGTGGGAATAATATTTGGGCCAACGAGTGGAACAATGTTGCCATGCAGCTGATGGAGACCAGCTGATAGTGGCTCACTCGAAGTAATTGCGCAGCAGTTTGCCTCCTTGCTATGCATATAAAACTAATCGGAGGCTAAAGTATTTTATGACATCCCCGAGGCGTTTGTTATTTGAAATTTGTAATTCTGAGATTGTTAAGAACGTTATTCGGATTTTGTAGCAAAGTATTTTACCGATTCAAAGATATTTCCATTGGAACAGTTTTTTCATTAGCGACCGGTTTGAAGTTGCTTTTTGTAAGAAAATTGTTATCCATTTTTAAAAGTTAACTACTCGGCTTAGCGTTATAGAATAGCATTTGGCCTTGTCAACCATAAGGGCATTCAGGTGATAGTTTATTAGTTCTATTTACATACATATCAATCCTCTAGGCTTTTTCTTGTCTTAGTTTAGTTGAAATCTTATTTATTTATTTTTAATTTCGCTAAAAGAAACAACTCTATTGAAAAATATGCGTGACGATATAATCGTTGCCGCCAGTATGGTCTTATTTTGCACCGGAACTTTTAATATTAATTGTTGTAAACCGACGCAGTGAAATCCAGGCGATTAAATATTGTAAATCTAAATTGTTTGTTTTGCAAAATATTCATTGAGAACACAGCTTTTCCTCTTCAAATCAAATGTGAAAAAACTGCATCCTACGCAAACATCAACCAGAAAACAGATAAAGTTGCTGATGGTTTTTTGAATCTCGAATCGTCTTTTTTACTGAGGTTTTGTGCAGAGTTCGTATAGCCTGGTATTAACCACTCAGCCTCGTATAAATCTATAAACCGTATGCCTGATTGCATATTTGAGGTTTTCGAAAAAGCAGCAAATTCTTCTCCAATTTTAATTGTTGCTAAATTTATACATGATTATCAATGTTTGTAAAATCCATTTTGAAAGTCTGTCTTTTACCATAAATGTTAATCCTGGTTTTTCTTTGATCATCTTTGTTTTTTTTAGAGGTTTGGAGAACGCGATCCTTCAATTTGTTTAAAGTAATCGTGAATTTCAAATGATTACAATAATATTATCATCTTGATAGAAACTAAAGAGAAAATGATCTCTCTTAGAGGGAAAGAGGAGGGGTTGCTGAATCGGAGAAAGAATGTCTCCTGTGTCACCTACCCCGCTAACTCTAGTCCACAGTGGCTCTTCCATGTGGGTATAAAATGGGCTCGTCCCTAAACCCCCATATTTGCTCTATAAATTACCTACCCCGCTAACTCTAGTCCACAGTGGCTCTTCCATGTGGGTATAAAATGGGCTCGTCCCTAAACCCCCATCTTTGCTCTATAAATTACCTACCCCGCTAACTCTAGTCCACAGTGGCTCTTCCATGTGGGTATAAAATGGGCTCGTCCCTAAACCCCCATCTTTGCTCTATAAATTACCTACCCCGCTAACTCTAGTCCACAGTGGCTTTTCCATGTGGGTATAAAATGGGCTCGTCCCTAAACCCCCATCTTTGCTCTATAAATTACCTACCCCGCTAACTCTAGTCCACAGTGGCTCTTCCATGTGGGTATAAAATGGGCTCGTCCCTAAACCCCCATCTTTGCTCTATAAATTGTATTGTCTCGTTACTCAAATGCGCGCTTAATGTAGTAGAGAAATTTGAGCAAATATGGAGTTGTTGTTGAAAATTTGTTGACCTTTTTGCCTGTTTGGTTAAGGCTTCCCCTTTGAAACAGCACGCATCATTTCAAGTTTAACAAACAGGACAATTATTCCACGCCGCAATACTTCCAAGAGTCGTTGATGATATAAAAGTAAACACGAACCATTAATGGCGACATTTGTTTCTATAACTCTTTTGAAATTCTACTTTACTGGATTACGCCTCTTTGAAGTACCTCTTTGAAGGGGTTGTCTAGTTTCCATACTGCTTGACCTGATAGTCATATATGATTAATAGTTATAAATTAGTATGATTAATTATTTCAAATGAAGGGTTGGGTTAGGGTTAGGTTTAGGGTTAGGTTTAGGGTTAGGGTTAGGGTTAGGTTTAGAGTAAACTACGTCATCAGGTCAAGCAGTATGGAAACTAGACAGCTCCCTCTTTGAAATTCCCTGTGCGCAAATAACTATAGGTTTTTGAGCCTAGGATTTCTAGGGCCTTGGAAAAAGTCCTGCCTCGATGGGACCTTAGAAACCCCGTACATTGATGACAAAGTTTTGGAAATTTCTACCTTTGGCTGTCTGTGAGATACACTCATTTTTTAAATAAGAAACAAAGGTCGATGTTAAGTACTCCAGTTTCCTAATGTTTTGGAAATTTCAATACTCATTGTTTCTTAAGAGTTTTTTAATTATGATGTCATGAATGATGTTATGAAATGTTCATGACCCTTTTTATCACGTCAAGAGATTCGCTTCCGTTCCGATGCTGTATTTAGATGTAGGAAGTATATTTTTATTCCTTTTGCTGAAGTTCTAGGCCAATAGGGCAATCTTGTTCTTGGATTTTACAAAATTTCGCTGCTCTCAGTTTCATCGCGATTTAATAGTTTCTTAATTTTTTGCTTCGAGTACTGAAGTTTCTGTCTGTCCCAAAGAGATGGACTGTCCAGTAAGATGCTGTGAAGGAGACTTCCTCCAGCCAAGGAGGAAATCGAAAACGAGACACAGGGAAGTAACTCGAAGAAAATGGTTGATTGTGTTGAGAAGTGGGTGATTGACGATCGCCCTTTAAAACAAGTGCTGGGTTGAAGTAAACTTGCCCAGTTACACTATGACCACTTCGGTTCCAAAAGACTACGATGTCACGTTTAAAGTTTTGGTTCTCGGCGATTCTGGAGTCGGGAAGACATGTTTAGTGCGGAGGTTCACAGATGGCGACTTCACTGCAAACTTTTTATCCACAATTGGTAAGTCCGTTATTTGCAGAAATTGCGTTTTGTACGGGAAATAATGATGGATCCGTACTTAATGGTCTGTTGCATCACTTTAGTATAATTTGGTAAAGTATTTACGGCAAAGAACGTTACAATGTGAAAAGGAAGTTGCCTAACTAACTCAGTTAGGCTAACTGTTAGGTCAGAGCTAAAAAATGCAATTAAACTGAGAAAAGAACATGCAGTTGGTTCCCTTTCAGTACTTTATTTAAAGAAAAGCCAGCACAGCGAAAGAAATGACATCTCTATGTTTCGACACGAGTCATTGTAACAAGCTTTGATCCAGATCCAACATTATCAGTAAGGCAAAATTTATGCGACAAAATCAGTACGGAATAATCAGAAAAACATAATTAAGACATTTCGAATCTAGCTAGAGTCATCTTTAGTAATCTTAAAGAGTCATCTTTAAGCTGGTTACAATGATTTTTTTCAACACATAAAGATGTCTCTTTTTTTGTCGTGCTGTCTATTCTGTTTATTATCAAGCTGTGCTTCCAAAGATCTAAATCTACCACCTCAAGTGCTACATTTATTAGAACAAAGAACAAAGATTGACAGTTGCTAGAGAATTTAGGCAGTGTCATCTCTCCCTGTTTGGCCTTGCTAGCATAATAAAATTCAGCAAAGAATCCACTTGGCTCCACTGAGATGCTGAACAATGCTTTTCTTTTATGCTGCCTTATACCTATATTGGAAAGTACATTTGAAGATGAATTGTGTAGAAACTGTGGCACTGTTAAATTTTTGCACTTGTAAGCTAATTTCTACCCACCCATCTACCCACTTGCACACCTCGTACTTGCCTAGAAAAGTTGTTGAATCATCTTGATAAAAAGATTGAAAAAGAATTTACAAATGACCTTAGTGGTATTAAATTTGTTTCATTTCATTGAGACCTTCAATTGGATTTTCTAAGAATCAAGGGCAAATTCTCAAAGTAATTCTCAGAATTGCCTCATTTTTATTCCAGGAATTGACTCCAAAACAAAACTGATACAAGTTGACAATGTCAAAGTGCGACTACAGATTTGGTAAGAGCTCCTTTTGGTTGAGTTGTAAGAATTCTCAATTTTTTTTGAGTGGATGGCAGTGAATAGAAACGAAATGAATAGAATGGCATTGAGTTGTAAGAATTCTCAATTTTTTTGAGTGGATGGCAGTGAATAGAAACGAAATGAATAGAATGGCATTGAATATTAGGAAGAGAGACAACTTGTTCATATGAATAAAGTACTACTGCTTAAAATTAATTAATTTGATAATCATCTTAATGATTTAGCAACAAAATTATATTTACATGACTTTAATTGAAGACTTTACGGGGCTTTATATCAGGCCAAAAAAATCATTGACTGTTGGCACTTGCTTCTGGATTGGCAAAATGAAACTCAACATGCAATTGAGTTCTTATGATGGCACAAGATTCCATGTTGGGCCTCAATGGAACAAAATCAAATGAATTATATTCTTCTCTGTCATCCAAATGGGATTCATTTCGTGACCATTTGATGATCTAATGGCTGTTTTTTATAATTCAAAAGATGCAAGAAAGCTTTCCGAAATATAATTGGCCTTGAAACTAATGAAATGCTTGAACTTGTCTATGGATAAAGATTACAATGAATAGATTTGCTTAATTCGTCTTTATTTTGCAGGGACACTGCAGGACAGGAAAGATTTAGGACTCTCACAAGTGCCTATTACAGAGGAGCAATGGTATTTTTTGTCTTAAAAAATTGACATAAAATGAAGGCCTCAGTTACACGATGCAGGATTGTTTTTCACTTCAGATTCTGAAGGCACTCCCAATCTGAAGGAATAGCACTCTACTTTTGGAAGTGGTAACATCACTTCAGATCATCATTGACTCTGTTTTGCTACTTTAACACAATAGGCCGTTTTTCAAAATTGACCACAAGCAGTTGGCACTACCAGGCTTGAGGCTGAAGTAAAGCTGTGCTTTAAATTTGCTTCCGTTTACTCTGAGCTTATATTTATAATTAGGTATTTGCCTTAAAACCTTCTTTTTGATGAGATAATTTTTGCAAAGACATTCAAAATTCAAGACATTAGGTTGCACCACCCTAAAAATACCATCAAAGGTACTGGATGGCATGTGTCCATCAAAGCATCAAGGGTAGCCATTTTGTCGTGAACTGCTCTCTAGAAAAAATAAACCCCTTTTCTTAACAATATTAGAGGTAAAAGAAAGGTACTAGAATGAAAATAACTTTGGATTGAGCGCTTACACAAGATAAAATGAAAATTAGAGTGATTGAGATTGATTTCCACCTTACCCCTGATGCAGTCTGGAGCTTCAAATCTGCAAGAGCAAAATACTTTGGGATGCCTTAGCATTGTGTAACTGAAACTCTTCCCCAAAGCAAACGCCAATCTTGAATTAACTTTATCCAGTGCCATGTGAAGATTAGTCAATGTTGATGCAATACTTTTGAAATGGTAGTGTATTGTAGGTGAAAATTAATAAGCTTTTTTCACTTTCTTTCTTTGAAAAGTAATAATGGTAGAAATATTATATTGTTTTTTAATTATTTTTTTTTCAGGGAATCATGTTGGTTTATGAAGTAACAAATGAGTCGTCTTTTAATAATATCAGTAGTTGGCTTGAAAACATTGAACAAGTAAGTTATGATAGGATCTGAAATTTTGTTGATTTCTTGTTTTAAGAACTCCATAAGAACTTCTTATTAGATGCTGTTATCAGATCTCTGTATAGTTACACAAATGGCTCATTGGTAATCTCAAATACCTTGTATCAAATTTCACAATTTTTAACATCACATGTAATTAACTTGATATGCTGAAAAATGTTTGAATTTGAGTTTGTATCTATTCTTATTGTGAATGTTGCTCATTTTCTTATTTCATCAATATTTTAGAACACAGAGAATGATGTGTGCAAAATAATGGTGGGAAACAAGTGCGATGCAAGTGTTGAGGAGAGAGAAGTGACAGAGTCAAGAGGGAGTCAGGTAGCTATTCAATAATTGAGCCGTACCTCAAGTTTAATTGCAAGCATTGTTTTGCCAGCATAATGTTTTGTCTGGTCAGGGAGATAAGGAATTAAGAATTGATTTTGGAGAATATTTTTCAGAGGTTTAATTCCTAACCTGTTATTGTGAGTAACAATTTTTCTTCAATTGAAATCCTTTCTAGTTTGATTTGAGTTTGAAGTTCATTTTATTTTTCTTCTTCATTATATCTTATTTAATTAAAAAACATTGCTTGATATGTATGCCAATTTGAAAGAGGATAAACAAGGGAATTGTTAAGTTGGGACCTGGCCACTTTTAAGTGGGAACAAAGTGTGTTTGGAATGGTTGGTTAGCAAAAAAGAATTACATTTAAACAAACATAAAAGAAAACAAAGCGATTTAGGTGGTCGAGTCCCTATAGTAGAATATCGATTAAAATTTAGCCTTGAACGTCCACTGTAAGATCGAATTTCGCTTTCTATATAGGCCCAGGAAGATACCCAATACTTGCTGCTGTTTTTATTTCTTATTTGTTTATCATTATTGTATGAATTAGCCTAAGTCGTTATTTTTCAGAGAGCTGCAGAGTTCAATCTTCCTTTCTTTGAGGCAAGCGCAAAAACTGGGACAGGAGTTGTTGAAGTAATCTATTTTTTTGATATGATCTATTTTTGCTTATTAAAGTTCATGACTGAGCTTAATTTCATGGTCATTTGTTAAGGTTTCGGTAAACGTTTTTGACATGATATTTGATTTCTCTCCCTAAAAGCAAAACTATTAACGGAATCAAATATAACTTTACATCATTCGATGCACAAGAATGTGGCGATTCCAATCATATCAACAAAATTGGCAAAGACTGTAAAATGATTCTTTCCGGGCAAATTTATTGCTTAAATGAGTGTACCACCTTCCAAAGCTATTTTGTACCCTTGCGATTGAGGTATCAAAATCTGACTTATATCAGCAGAAAGCGCAGATTTCTAGCTACCAAACTCTGTCTCAGATTTTTCAAATTCCTCCTCCCCTTGAAACTATACCCTGTCAAAAATTGGCAAACAATTTTTCTTCCCTCTCACAGTTTTATTCACATCTGTCATGGCCGTGTGCAAAGGTTTGAACCATTCGATTGGTTCCTTGGGTACAAAATAGCTTTTTCGTACCTGTATGTAGAGGAATTGTAAGTCCGTAGAAAACGGGATTTTACTGATCTCATTTGCAAGGTACACTCGTAAACCACATTGTAATCCCGGTCAATTCACTTGAAGCTTTAAGATCAATACGCCTATTTAAATAAACACGGCCGTACATGAGATACATGGATGTGCCATGCGATATTGTAAATGAGACATGGGGCCACAACCGCAAAGCAACGAAATCGGCTTAACAGGTCAAGAGATTTTCATGCCTCAACTAAACGTTCTGATAAAGAAATCATGGAAACCTTCGTTTGCATGTGATTTTTTTCATTTTCAAAATTTCTCTTTGTGTGCCTTGAAAGTTCGGCTACTTAAATGTAAAAATTCGTAAGTGGATGTTTTCATCCAGAAAACGCTTACCGTAACGTTAAAGCGCTTATATTTCTGTGTCTGTTGCTTTTATCCAAATTTTTGAGGATATTGAGCGAAAAATCATCACGAACTTTCATTTTTTTCAAAGCAATTTTAATTCTGTGTCTGTTGCTTCGAAAAATTGTATCCAAATTTTTGAAGATACTGAATGAAATATCACCATGAAAAATCTCACCATTTCTTTCAAAGCAAATTATATTCTTCTTTTTATTCTTCAGGCGTTTATGTCCCTAGCAAACATCATAAAGCAAAGGAATGACATCAAGGTATTCTGTTTTTTGATAATCATGATCGTCTTCAACTACAACTCCATAGACAAAGATTCAACCACATAATCTGAAACTTTTGAACACGTTTTAGTCAAGAGTGAAGTTAGGTATGGAGTCACATCGTGAACGAAATGACAACCGATAGATCGTACCGTGTTATGTGGATCGTACCGTCAGATACCCGTGGATCGTCCCGTTACGTCACGGCACGGTTTGACAAACTTGTCGACTCGATCTATGACATCGTCCCACGAGCTACGAATCATAACATCATCGTTATTGTGTCATCGTGGTTCGTGGATGAGTAGACGGGAATGCTGTTTGTAAGAGGCTTTACATCGTAAAGAGCGAGAGGCAAAGACAACGCACTCACTACATTTTGTGTGCTCTTTAATTGCACTGAAAACACTGATATATACGTCAACACGTGATATGATATTGATTAATAGCTAACACGTGATATGACATGTGATTGTATACACGTGTTCTATTACATGTTCGGAGGAATAGAAGGGGAGTGCTGTTTCTGCCAAAGTTCATTTCGTCATGTTATTTTTGATAGAAATTGCTATTGTTATCATCATTGTAGAATTTATTCGGCTTTAAATTTAAAAGAGGTCCACTTTAGATACTAGAGGCAGGAAGACCTACCCTCTGTTGTATTAATACCTAATTATTCTGTATTAATGTATCAATCTTTCTTGGAACAAGAAAACTCTTCTAAGCGTCAATATGCAAGTAAAAGATAAGGCAAGCTTGCTTTGACTTAGGCCACTTTTCAATCGATTCAAACTTCTTTTATTTTCATAGGAAAGTCAACTGTCTGTGAAAGAGCTTTCACCGTTTCAAGGTGTCTCAGCTGATTCCTCGAAGAGTGGTTCTTGCTGCAGATAGCTTTCAAAGGTATTTCTCTTATTACAAAAACGCATTTTTCACACAAATCTCTTATCAATATAAATAATTTGACATTTTGATAAAAGTATTCGTGATTTTTACAACAACAGTTTACTTTACGCGAGAGTTAACCCTAAAATTTTGAACTTGGAGCAATCAATGATTTTTTACCTTAATGTATGTGCACACGGCGGTTATCTTGTAAAATATGCTATACAATAAAATTTCTTTGGAGAATTCACGAGGTAATTTTAAAGTAACAGGAAGCTGCCTTGCTGGCTGGCTTTGGTAGCTGTTTGCTAACGTAATTTGCTGTGCTAACAGTGTGGATTTCATCATAGTTGGCTAAAACAAACTTTCGCTAACAGTTTGATCATCTGAAAAGAAATAAAAGAGGGGGCGGTTGACTTGGCGTAACATTGTCTGAGGAGAGGGGGCATTTAATTCTTCTATTTTTGGAAGTTATAATTTGTATTGAAGGGCAGAAACAAATCATAGCATACTAATGTAATTTTCAACCCACAAAAGATGTGAATCTGGGCAGCATTTACCTACGGATCCAGTGTGTGCTGAAATGTATAGTGATTCAAGATAAAGCAAGGTCATCTTTATAATTACGAGGTTTTCCACGAAGCTAATTTCCGCCATTTTTGTAAAACTATAACATTACTTATATATCGAAAGTTGTCCTCTCCAAAAAACCGTCAATTTGCATCAAAAACAAGACTGTTTCAAAAATTAAATTAGTTTTTTGGTATTTCTAATCAAAGAAAAGCAAATAAGCTAGTTTCTTCAGAAAACAAATTTCGAGAAAATCCGGTGATTTTTGTAAGTGTATAGCCTTACTTTTTTATCGAAAATTGGCCTCTCCCAAAAACTGTCATTTTGCATAAAAACGGATTATTTCCAAAATAAATTAATTCTTTGTTTTTTCTAATCAAAAAGAAGCAAATAAGCTAATTTCTTGAAGAAGGAAATTTGGCGATTTCTGTAAGTCTAAAGCCTTACTTTTTATCGAAAATTGGCCTCTCCCAAAAACCGTCATTTTCCATCAAACAACGAAGTTTTTTCCAAAACTAAATTAATTTGTTGGTTTTTACTATCAAAAAGAAGCAAATAAGCTAGTTTTTTGGGAAAAAAAATTTCGAAAAAATTTGGTGATTTTTGTAAGTCTATAGCCTTACTTTTTTATCAAAAATTGGTCTCCCAAAAAAACCTTCATTTTGCAGAAAAAACGAGGTTTTTTCCAAAACTAAATAAATTTGTTGGTTTTTACTATTAAAAAGAAGCAAATAAGCTAGTTTTTTGGAAAAAAAATTTCGAAAAAATTTGCGATTTTGTAATATAGCCTTACTTTTTTATCAAAAATTGGTCTCCCAAAAAAACCTTCATTTTGCAGAAAAAACGAGGTTTTTTTCCAAAACTAAATTAATATGTTGGTTTTTACTATCAAAGAAGCAAATAAGCTAGTTTTTTGGGAAAAAAATTTGAAAAAATTTGGCGATTTTTGTAAGTCTATAGCCTTACTTTTTTATCAAAAATTGGCTCCCAAAAAACCTTTTTTTGCAGAAAAAACGAGGTTTTTTCCAAAACTAAATAATATGTTGGTTTTTACTATCAAAAAGAAGCAAATAAGCTAGTTTTTTGGGAAAAAAAATTTCGAAAAAATTTGGCGATTTTTGTAAGTCTATAGCCTTACTTTTTTATCAAAAATTGGTCTCCCAAAAAAACCTTCATTTTGCAAAAGAAACGAGGGTTTTTTCCAAAAATAAAATAATATGTTGGTTTTCACTATTAAAAGAAGCAAATAACCTAGTTTTTTGGGAAAAAAATTGCGAAAAAATTTGGCGATTTTTGTAAGACTATAGCCTTACTTTTTTATCAAAAATTGGTCTCCCAAAAAACCTTCATTTCGCAGAAAAAACGAGGGTTTTTTCCAAAAATAAAATAATATGTTGGATTTCACTATTAAAAGAAGCAAATAATCTAGTTTTTTGGGAAAAAAATTGCGAAAAAATTTGGCGATTTTTGTAAGACTATAGCCTTACTTTTTTATCAAAAATTGGCCTCTCCAAAAAACCTTTTTTTTGCAGAAAAAACGAGGTTTCCTCCAAAACTAAATTAATATGTTGGTTTTTACTATTAAAAAGAAGCAAATAAGCTAGTTTTTTGTGAAAAAAAATTTCGAAAAAATTTAGCGATTTTTGTAAGTCTATAGCCTTACTTTTTTATCAAAAATTGGTCTCCCAAAAAAAACCTTAATTTTGCAGAAAAAACGAGGTTTTTTCCAAAATTAAATTATTATGCTGGTTTTTACTATTAAAAAGAAGGAAATCAGCTAGTTTTTTGGGAAAAAAAATTTCAAAAAAATTGGCGATTTTTGTAAGTCTATAGCCTTACTTTTTTATCAAAATTGGTCTCCCAAAAAACCTTCATTTTGCAGAAAAAACGAGGTTTTTTCCAAAACTAAATTAGTTTGTTGGTTTTGACTATTAAAAAGAAGCAAATAAGCTAGTTTTTTGGGAAAAAAATTTCAAAAAATTTTTGCGATTTTTGTAAGTCTATAGCCTTACTTTTTATCAAAAATTGGTCTCCCAAAAAACCTTCATTTTGCAGAAAAAACGAGGTTTTTTCCAAAACTAAATTAATTTGTTGGTTTTTACTATTAAAAAGAAGCAAATAAGCTTCGAAAAAATTTGGCGATTTTTGTAAGTCTATAGCCTTACTTTTTTATCAAAAATTGGCTCCCAAAAAAACCTTCATTTTGCAGAAAAAACGAAGTTTTTTCCAAAACTAAATTAATATGTTGGTTTTTACATTCAAAAAGAAGCAAATAAGCTAGTTTTTTGGGAAAAAAAATTTCGAAAAAATTTGGCGATTTTTGTAAGTCTATAGCCTTACTTTTTTATCAAAAATTGGCCTCTCCAAAAAACCTTTTTTTTGCAGAAAAAACGAGGTTTTTTCCAAAACTAAATTAATATGTTGGTTTTTACTATTAAAAAGAAGCAAATAAGCTAGTTTTTTGGGAAAAAAAATTTCGAAAAAATTTGGCGATTTTTGTAAGTCTATAGCCTTACTTTTTTATCAAAAATTGGTCTCCCAAAAAAACCTTCATTTTGCAGAAAAAACGAGGTTTTTTCCAAAACTAAATTAATATGCTGGTTTTTACTATTAAAAAGAAGAAAATCAGCTAGTTTTTTGGGAAAAAAAATTTCGAAAAAATTTGGCGATTTTTGTAAGTCTATAGCCTTACTTTTTTATCAAAAATTGGCCTCTCCAAAAAACCTTTTTTTTGCAGAAAAAACGAGGTTTTTTCCAATACTAAATTAATATGTTGGTTTTTACTATCAAAAAGAAGCAAATAAGCTAGTTTTTTTGGAAAGAAAATTTCGAAAAAATTTAGCGATTTTTGTAAGTCTATAGCCTTACTTTTTTATCAAAAATTGGCCTCTCCAAAAAACCTTTTTTTTGCAGAAAAAACGAGGTTTTTCCAAAACTAAATTATTATGCTGGTTTTTACTATTAAAAAGAAGAAAATCAGCTAGTTTTTTGGGAAAAAAAATTTCGAAAAAATTTGCCGATTTTTGTAAGTCTATAGCCTTACTATTTTATCAAAAATTGGCCTCTCCAAAAAACCTTTTTTTGCAGAAAAAACGAGGTTTTTTCCAAAACTAAATTAATATGCTGGTTTTTACTATTAAAAAGAAGGAAATCAGCTAGTTTTTTTGGAAATAAAATTTCAAAAAAATTTGGCGATTTTTGTAAGTCTATAGCCTTACTTTTTTATCAAAAATTGGTCTCCCAAAAAAACCTTCATTTTGCAGAAAAAACGAGGTTTTTTCCAAAACTAAATTAATTTGTTGGTTTTTACTATTAAAAAGAAGAAAATAAGCTAGTTTTTTGGGAGAAAAAATTTCAAAAAACTTTTGCGCTTTTTGTAAGTCTATAGCCTTACTTTTTTATCAAAAATTGGTCTCCCAAAAAACCTTCATTTTGCAGAAAAAACGAGGTTTTTTCCAAAACTAAATCAATTTGTTGGTTTTTACTATTAAAAAGAAGCAAATAAGCTAGTTTTTTGCGAAAAAAAATTTCGAAAAAATTTGGCGATTTTTGTAAGTCTATAGCCTTACTTTTTTATCAAAAATTGGTCTCCCAAAAAAACCTTCATTTTGCAGAAAGAACGAGGTTTTTTTCAAAAACTAAATTAATTTGTTGGTTTTTACTATTAAAAAGAAGCAAATAAGCTGTTTTTTTGGGAAAAAAAATTGCGAAAAAATTTAGCGATTTTTGTAAGTCTAAAGCCTTACTTTTTTATCAAAAATTGGTCTCCCAAAAAACCTTCATTTTGCAGAAAAAACGAGGTTTTTTCCAAAACTAATTTAATTTGTTGGTTTTTACTATTAAAAAGAAGCAAATAAGCTGTTTTTTTGCGAAAAAAAATTTCGAAAAAATTTGGCGATTTTTGTAAGTCTATAGCCTTACTTTTTTATCAAAAATTGGCCTCCCAAAAAAACCTTAATTTTGCAGAAAAAACGAGGTTTTTTTCAAAAACTAAATTAATTTGTTGGTTTTTACTATTAAAAAGAAGCAAATGAGCTGTTTTTTTGGGAAAAAAAATTTCGAAAAAATTTAGCGATTTTTGTAAGTCTATAGCCTTACTTTTTTATCAAAAATTGGTCTCCCAAAAAAACCTTCATTTTGCAGAAAAAACGAGGGTTTTTCCAAAACTAAATTAATATGCTGGTTTTACTATAAAAAGAAGAAACTAGTTTTTTGGGAAAAAAAATTTCGAAAAAATTTGGCGATTTTTGTAAGTCTATAGCCTTACTTTTATCAAAAATTGGTCTCCCAAAAAAACCTTCATTTGCAGAAAAAACGAGGTTTTTTCCAAAACTAAATTAATATGTTGGTTTTACTATCAAAAAGAAGCAAATAAATAGTTTTTTGGAAAAAAAATTTCGAAAAATTTGGCGATTTTTGTAAGTCTATAGCCTTACTTTTTTATCAAAAATTGGCCTCTCCAAAAAACCTTTTTTTGCAGAAAAAACGAGTTTTTTCCAAAACTAAATTAATATGCTGGTTTTTACTATTAAAAAGAGGAAATAGCTAGTTTTTGGGAAAAAAAATTTCGAAAAATTTGGCGATTTTTGTAAGTCTATAGCCTTACTTTTTATCAAAAATGGTCTCCCAAAAAAACCTTCATTTGCAGAAAAACGAGGTTTTTTCCAAAACTAAATTAATTGTTGGTTTTTACTATTAAAAAGAAGCAAATAAACTAGTTTTTGGAAAAAATTCGAAAAAATTTGGCGATTTTTGTAAGTCTATAGCCTTACTTTTTATCAAAATGGTCCCAAAAAACCTCTATTTTTGCAGAAAAAACGAGTTTTTTCCAAAACTAAATAATTTTGGTTTTTACTATTAAAAAGAAGCAAATAAGCTAGTTTTTTGGAAAAAAAAATTTCGAAAAAATTGGCGATTTTTGTAAGTCTATAGCCTTACTTTTTATCAAAAATTGGTCTCCCAAAAAAACCTTCATTTGCAGAAAAAACGAGTTTTTTCCAAAACTAAATAATATGTGGTTTTTACTATAAAAAGAAGCAAATAGCTAGTTTTTGGGAAAAAAAATTTCGAAAAAATTTGGCGATTTTTGTAAGTCTATAGCCTTACTTTTTATCAAAAATTGGCTCTCCAAAACCTTTTTTTTGCAGAAAAAACGAGGTTTTTTCCAAAACTAAATTAATATGTGGTTTTTACTATTAAAAAGAAGAAAAGCTAGTTTTTTGGGAAAAAAATTTCGAAAAAATTTGCGATTTGTTAAGTTCTATAGCCTTACTTTTTTATCAAAAATTGGTCTCCCAAAAACCTTCATTTTGCAGAAAAAACGAGGTTTTTTCCAAAACTAATTAATTGTTGGTTTTTACTATTAAAAAGAAGCAAATAAGCTAGTTTTTGGGAAAAAAAATTTCAAAAAATTTGGCGATTTTTGTAAGTCTATAGCCTTACTTTTTATCAAAATTGGTCTCAAAAACCTTCATTTTGCAGAAAAAACGAGGTTTTTTCCAAAACTAAATTAAATGTTGGTTTTACTATTAAAAAGAGAAGCAATAAGCTAGTTTTTGGAAAAAAAATTCGAAAAAAATTTGGCGATTTTTGTAAGTCTATAGCCTTACTTTTTTATCAAAAATTGGTCTCCCAAAAACCTTCATTTTGCAGAAAAAACGAGGTTTTTTCCAAAACTAAATTAATATGCTGGTTTTACTATAAGAAGAAAATCAGCTAGTTTTTGGGAAAAAAATTTCGAAAAAATTTGGCGATTTTTGTAAGTCAATAGCCTTACTTTTTTATCAAAAATTGGCCTCTCCAAAAAACCTTTTTTGCAGAAAAAACGAGGTTTTTCCAAAACTAAATTAATATGTGGTTTTTACTATTAAAAGAAGAAATAGCTAGTTTTTTGGGAAAAAAAATTCGAAAAAATTGGCGATTTTTGTAAGTCTATAGCCTTACTTTTTTATCAAAAATTGGCTCTCCCAAAAAAACCTTCATTTTGCAGAAAAAACGAGGTTTTTTCCAAAACTAAATTAATGTGTGGTTTTACTATAAAAAGAAGCAATAAATAGTTTTTGGGAAAAAAAATTTCGAAAAATTGGCGATTTTGTAAGTCTATACCCTTACTTTTTATCAAAATTGGCTCTCCAAAAAAACCTTTTTTTGCAGAAAAAACGAGGTTTTTCCAAACAAAATAATATGCTGGTTTTACTATTAA